CCCCAACCTAGGGCTAAATCATCAGAGGCTAGGCTAGGCCCTGCTGTAGCAGAAAACTTTCTATTCGTGTCCCAGAGCCGAGTGCCAACAATTCTTTACTCTAGCTCAGTGGCAACCTGTGTTTGAAAAAAGCCCCATAGGCTCAATGGGCAAAAGAGAACCACCACCTAATGCTCCTCTCCTCGGGCAGGTCGCTTTGCTGTTCGTGACATGAGACAGACGGTGGCCGTGGGTGTGATCAAGGGGGTAGAGAAGAAAGCCAGTGCAGCTGCCAAAGTCACCAAATCAGCTGTGAAGGCCAGTAAGAAATGAAGACTGGGCAGCACCAAAACCCAACAGGCAAAATCACCGTCTGGACTGACTTGTACAGCACAGAGCACGGAGCCTCAGCAAATGGCCCTGGCAGAGCCATGGGTGGGATGGGTCTGCCTGACCCCTTGCACTTTAACTTTTCTAACTGTCCTCACTGAATAAACTGCCCATTTAAAAAATGACCATGGCTTTGTGTCTGTAACCCCGTCCTCTGGAGGGTGTGCTGGGGTGATCTGTCAGCCCTCCTGGCTATGTCAGGAGCCAGGATTGGGTGGAGAGGCCCCATAACTACAAACCAGTGCTGGAGGGGCAATAGATCCTATCAACTCTCCCCTGGAAGAGGGGGTAGAAAAATGCTGCTCCCTCACTACCATTCAGCCAGCAAGTAGAATGTCTTGGCTTCAGCCTTCTCACCCAGGAATACCTGGACCGCGTGGTTCCAAGTGGCAGTTTGAAGGGGGCAGTTGGTGGGCGCTGGCGCAAGCAGTAGCAGGGCTCTAGCGGAGGAAGATCCGCATCAGACGCTCACAAGCAGGACTGATGAGAAGTAGAGCAGGAGGGGAGGGTAAGCACAAAGCTGGAGAAACACCATCAAAAGACCCTGAGCATCTCCTGGTATTGTGGGTTTGAATTGCTTGGAGTTCTTGGTGGAGAAAATCCTTCAGAGGAGACCAGGTGCCTGTGAGGACATGTGGGCTGGAAAATGGAGGGGGAGGGCTCAAGTTAGGGTGAGGCACCCTCCATGCCAGTCACCACCCCCTCCAAGCTGGATGCTTAACCTGGAGCCCCTAGCTGGTGCTTGTGATGGGAGGGTAATGAAAGAGGCTGTTAAAAACAAAAGCAATAATATCTTGGCTGGCATAGATCACTGGGCTTCAACTGACAAGCCTGTGATGAGAGGGAACTGATGCTAGAGTGTGGGATTTTCCAACAAGGAAGGGTTAGCAGAAGATGGCCAAAGACTGGCCGTTTGATTCTGAGAGACCTGAGTTACTTTCTAGGTACAGGTCACTCTCTGGCAAGAGGTGGCTCTATCCACTCACCTTAGATTGATCATATCACCCCTTCACCTTCTGCTAAATATCTACTACATATTCATTTTTCCCTGTCATGAGCTCTTCAATCTAGCAGAGAAAGACCACAATCCAAGGGCAGGAAGCTGAATCTAAACAAATTCAGCCTGAAAGGCGTACATCTCTAGTAGTGAGGGCAACTCACCATTGGAACAACTTACCCAGGGTCACAGTGGATTATCCATCACTGACCACTTTTCAATCAAGATCTGCTTTTGGAATTATTTTGGGACAAGTCTCTGGCCCATGTTACACAGGTGGTCAGACTAGATCACAATGGTCCCTTCTGGCCTTGAAATCGATGAATCTGCTCATAGCATAAAATGGGTTTGTGGTGTCTAGATCTAGTACTGCTAGCTAAAATGGTGCCATGGCTCCTTCTAAGCCATGTTTTAAGGTTCTTTATGGCCTCTTTCCCCTTGAGATACTTCCCTCGTTTGTTGCCTCCTATCTTGGGTCAGTCCAGCAGGAACAGAAATGGTGGTAACATGCCTTTATTAAATGCCACAAATTCACACCCCCATGGGTGATGCTGGCCCTTGCTAAGGAGCTCTCTAGGTCTGAGGTTCCAGTCCAGGCTCAGTGCATAACTTCAAGTGAAGTGGGGGGGTAGTCCCTCTCATAGAGCAGTGACACAGAGGGCCACTCTAGAGCTAGCAATTCTGGATTTTTGGGAGCCAGGTATCTGTAGCCTAGGACCCCTCCCAGCAGAAACCTCCCCCACCTGTGGACTTCTGAGGGGTAGACCCAATGTCCCTGTGTGCATGGGATAGCTTCTGTAACGGGTAGGGAGAGCTGCACATACCTCAAGGCAGAACTTGCCTCATGTCTTCTAATCTGAAAGTCCTTCTGCTCCCAACTCTCGGGATGCTATGTGAAAATGAGGACAACCTGTGTTCCCCTGAGGGTTACTCCTCTCTGGCATGAGGACACTTGCATAGGTTTGTACAGGGAACCAAATGCATGGAAAGGCTCCAGCTTAGTCTGTCCAATTTTGACTGTCCCTCTAACAACTAAATGGCCCCACTGGTTGCTTTTCTTCCTGAGGCAGGAAGAAAATCAGGACAATAAATTAGCCGGCTGTGACTGAGAATTTATTAATGACTCCAGAGACAAAGGTGGTAGCTGAGAATTTTTTTTTCAAAAGTGACGCTGGTTGCAGCTGATCTCTGAAAAGAGCAATCCTACACGAGGGTGGGCCAAAGGCAGCCCTGCTGGAACTCAGTCAATGGCGTTCCACCACGGCTGTGGCTGGGCCCTGTCTGGACAGATGGCTATGAAATTATTAATCCAATTGCTTCAACTGACTGCTAATGAGCAATCTAGCGCTGACACAAACCCATCTGCGTCCTCAGGCTGGAAGACCAGGTCTACACTAGAAACTTTTGCCAGTGTAATAGTGTCAGTTAAGTGGGGTGATGCTTTGACATATTAATGCTGGCAAAAAGCCCCCAGTCTATATGCAGTTATACCGGCAAAAAAAGAAAAGTTCTTTTGCCAATGTAGCTTATTCTGTTCAGGGAAGTTTCTGCTATAAGCATGTCTGTACTAGAAAACCCTTTCTAGTGTAGGCTAGGCTGAACTCTATGGTTCTCTTACAAAAGACTGTCCCATGGATGAAACAGGACAGCAATGCCCTAGGATGTGTCCTGAAGTCAGAAACTCCAGCTGTCTGCTGATCCTGCTAGAAATCTAGCCCTGACAAGAAGCAGCTGCCTGTTGAAAGCAATGTAGGGGCCCCCTGGAATGTCTTGTAGATGAGTCCAATGCACACCTGAATGCTCTTCTTAAGAGACAGATGAGACCGCTGGGCACATGAGGGCTGAGATGTGCCCTCTGGCCGGAAAGGTGCTGGATGAGGTCTTTGTGGCTGGCTGGATCTCAGCTGGAGAAGGTGAAAAGGTTATAGCTCCACTACCCTGCCTAGACGGTATATGACATGGGAGCAAGGAGGAGTGAACTGGTATTAAAGAATGGAAGAGCAGGCACTCTTCATGAATCCCACGGGCAAGCAGGTGTGTCAGAGCTGGGAAGAAGGGAGGATGCCAGTGGTCATCCAACAATTACAGCAGATCCCCTTGTCAGCCAGGGGTCCTCTTATGGATCAGCATCCAAGCCCCACATTGTTTGGTTGTCAAATTATGCCATTCAGCAGGCCACTAGGAGACCACAGCGTGATGCTGATTTTCTGCAAGCCACAACGTTCAGTCCGGTCATTGGATGTGGGAGGCATTTATCTGCCCGGCTTGCGCCTCAAAGGTCTTGTCCCCTTTCTGACCATCCTATGGTTTTGCTACGTGCACGTGCCCACCTGTACAGCCCACACTGAAATATTTAACAATGACCCCAAGGTGCCCCGTATCATGGACTTGGCCTGTCCCCTAACCTGTTCTCTTGGCCAGGTCACGTGATCATTTCCTGTGACTTTGCTATCAGGGGGCAGCATGTGAGAGCTGCCTGGGTTTGAAGGCTGCTTTGTATCTTTGATTCCCCTAGCCAGGACAGAAAGCCATTTCCCTAACAGCGTAGAGACTGAGGCAACACATTTGGAACCCAGGAGCTCCTTGAGGGCTAGGTCCTGTTCTACCACTGCCTTGCTGGGTGGCCTTGGGCAAGTCTCTTCACCTCTTTGGCTGGCTGGTTCCCAGGGTCCAAAGCGGGGCTAATAATGTATCTGTGTCACAGGCTGCTGGGAGGATCCCCCGGTTAATGTCTGTACAGCTCTTTAAAGATAAGCATGGTGGAAATGCTAATTGTTGCCATGAGTAGGATGCAGTGAGGCAATTCTCCTGCCGGCTGCTTTGGGTTCCCTTTGCCCATTTCCTAAGAGGAAAATGAAATGAACACATTGCTTCATGGCCCTGCACAGGGCCGGCTCCAGGCACCAGCGGAGGAAGCACGTGCCTGGGGCGGCAGTTCGGGCGGCTTTTTTTTTTTTTGCTTGGATCGGCAAAAATGGTAGAGCCGGCCTTGGCCCTGCATTATTATTTTTTTTATGACTAAGGGCAGCATCCCTCTCTCCTGATACCGAGGTGGCTGAGGCGGGGATCAGAAAAGAAACCTGGAATCACAATAAACACCTGGATTCTCTTTGACTCTCATAGGGTCCAAATGCAAGATGGCAGGTCCGACTCTAAGTGCAAGCTCTCCGCCCCTCAATGTTACGCCGGCCAAGAACCGTAGGGTATGGAAGGGTCTTCAGAGGAAGGGCAGAGCCGGCAGAAGCAAAGAGCCAGGAGACACAGAGGGAACAGCCAGCCAGCGAGCCCTGTCCCCATTGGAAGCAGCCGAATCTTCAAACCTCAGGGCAAGGAAGCAGTGGAACCTAGACAGTTTAGGCTCCCATCCTCCGGAGACCTCCCAGCAGCTCCGGAGCCTTGGCACCCAGAGCCGGTGGAAGGTGGAGTTGGACAAGCTCCACAGGGAAGCTGCAGGTCAGGGAATCTCCATTGGACCTTCACTGGTTGTAAATGGCCATTCAGAAATGCTCCAGGCTTCACTGTTTTTCAGTTTGATGATCTCACAGCATGTGGTGGGGTAGCTAGATGACATGGGTTATTGTCCTCCCCTCTCCCCACTCTTTGGGATTCGAGGGAGTTGGGTGGGTGAGTCGGCTGTGGGACCCCAAATTAGGGGCCCCGCATCTTTCCCATATTGGACTTTTAAAAGTGCAAGCATTTGGCTGATTAAGAATAGCACCTGCACTTACACTAATTCAGCTAAAAGTTTTCCAGGCCAATGATCCTCAGGCTTCAGGGTATAAACTGCTCACCGGCTGAGGTCAGGAGGAAATTACCTTCTGTGGTAAAATACTGCACAATAGCTGAGTCTACGGTAGGTAGGAATGGAGTGATGCTTTTTTGGAAGTATCTACTGTCAGACACAGGGTACTGGGTTAGATATCCCCCACCCCCATAATATGGTAATCCCTAGATTCCTGATGAATCCAGCACTATGGGAGGAGAGTATCCTATTACCTCAAAACCATGGACCTTCTCCTTGTCATTAGCAGTGTCCTGTAAGCGCGCTAGGCACTGCAGCCGCAATGAAGGTGGATATCAGCCATGCCAGCATGGCTTCTTTTATGATTGGTCTGAATTAACAGAGGTGCAGCATCTCGCAGTACAAAACACACACATCAGCCTTCCCTTAGACTGAGATAAAGGCATCTCTGACCCTGTTTACTCCAGCTGACCTCACAGATCTGATCTCGTTTTACTCCTCTTTCCCGCTCCCTCTGCTCAGCCAACTCCCGCTGTTCCTTTTCGCAATCTTCCCACTGACCGCATGGGAGCCTTCTCCTCTGCATTACCCGCTGTCTGGAACTGCTTCCCCACGTCTTCAACTCCTCCATCACATTTCAAGTCTCCTTTCTCTTTCACTCCTTAATTTCTCTTTCCGCCAAAATCGTTTACGACAGTTTGTAAGACTGATGCTGCACAAAACGAGGCCCAGCTCCTCCCCCTATTGGAGTTTAGCAAGGGAAGAAGGATCGGGACCTAAACTTGCATTGGAGAAGCAGTAGCAGCATGGTTTGATATGGAGGAAGCTGGCTGAAGTGCCAGGGATCTCTCATCTCTAATGTTTCCCTTTAGGAGACCTGGGGCAGGTCTATTCCCAAGATGCCTCCGCTGATCTGAGTGAGAAACCAGGGACCTCAGCTGCAATGCGAACCTTTCAAGACTGGAAGAAAGACAACCTCACCCGGATTAAAGAGAGGGCAAAGTCCCTCCGCCTGAAACAGCTGGATGGGGCCAACGCAGTCGATCTTCTCCATGCCTTCTTCCGCCAGTTCTTTAGCTACCTGAATGAATGTCCCGAGAGACCCTACTTCAGGGATGTGAGAGAACTGACGTCGGGGAGCAGCTACCAGGTAACAAGGAGAGGGAGGGTAGGCGGTGGGAGCAGTCAGAGCCTTCTAGGGTGACAGCAGCAGGGAAAAGGGGAGGTAGGCGGTCATTAGAGAGTTTGGATCAGGGAGGGAATGAAAGCAGGAAGGAGGGGTGAGAAGGGATGGGATCAAGGGGATGAGTGGAGGAAAGGAGAAGTGGGGATTCGCCTGAAAAGAATTCAGCAGCATCTCCAGTAGGAGACTCTGTCTACAGCCCTTGCACCCGAATAACTTTGACGTGCTGCTGAGCCTGCCGATTCCAGATTATATTCAGTACGCTGAGGTGGAGGGGTACGATGGGCTCTTCTACACCCTGACTCTGCTGAGAAAGTCCCGCAGCTTTCCAGCCGCCTTCCTGCTGGAGGACGGGCAGACTGTGTCCCCAGGGAGCATCATGGCGGAGTTCCGGCAGCACTTGGATCAGTTCATCAAAGTGTTCTACTCAGGTGAGTGTCCCCGTGCTGGGGCTACCTGGATCCCCCCTTCCATCCTGACCTGTGACATCTCCTGCTCGTCCAGGCCTAAGTAATTCTTAAAATAGCAGCAGCTGCAGCGTAGCTCAGATAGGGGCTAGGCTGAGACCCACAAGCTCATTTTCACGTGATCTCAAGTAGGATTTGAACCCAGGTCACCAGAGGTGAAAGGCCGAGGTATTAGGCCCTTGAGATTGGGATCCTTCACACTACACAGAGCTGAGTGAGCTGGACTCCATCTAAATAAATACATTTATGGAGATATCCCATCTCCTAGAACTGGAAGGGACCTTGAAAGGTCATTGAGTCCAGCCCCCTGCCTTCACTAGCAGGACCAAGTACTGATTTTGCCCCAGATCCCTAAGTGGCCCCCCTCAAGGATTGAACTCACAATGCTGGGTTTAGCAGGCCAATGCTCAAACCACTGAGCTATCCCTCCCCTCACATCCCTCTCCTGGGGAAAGCTGTGGGTTCCCCACTAGGAGTCCTTCCCTAAGGGATTTGGTTGAGTTTCTGGTCGGTTTGGTTTCTTTGGCTGACATTGATCTAAACACAAACAAGCCCCTTGATGAATTACTGCCTCTTTCTAAGCTCTCCCATTGGTCTGTCCACTGTCTGTCTGGTGTCTCAGTGCCTTTTCCTGGATGGCAGATGAGGCTGGAGAGGAAAAAGCAGAACAGCCCAGCGGTGCCCCTAGTGATGGTGGACAACCGAGGTGACACATTCATGTCTATTGACCTGGTCCTTGCTCTGGAGATCTCTGGCCAATGGCCCAGTTCAAATGACGAAGGGATGGATGTCAAGCAGTTGTTGGGGGAGAAGGAGCCATATCTGAGGAAGACCCTCTATTTCATTGCTAAACAGGCCCCTGGTCAAGATAACAAAGGTAACTCCCTCACCACAGCATGTTCTCCTGGGAAAGTGCTTAGGGATTGAGTTGTCAGGCTGAGGCTTGGAGAAGGGTGTAGTAGTGTGCAGAGCTGGGACAATGAACACCCCCTCAGGGGAAGGAACCCACACAGCCCACAGGGCCAATGCCCCCTCCTCTCTTTTCATAGCACTGCCAAAGCCGCCCCCACATTCTCTGTATCCCACTGTGGTAAATGCACTGGCCTTAAGCTAGTCTCCCAGAAGAAAAGCTGCAGAGAGTCAGCAGAGAGTATCTCTAGCCTCTGGTGGGGTATGCCATGCTGAGACAGGGCTTGTGTGTTCTGGAGACCTCGATGGAGCCCATACATAACATGTATTGAGGGGAATGATGTCTCCCCCTTTTCCCTTCAGTTCAAGTCCTCGACCTAGAGCTACCCCACCAGGGAGCAGGAGGTGTTCCCAGGAGAGTGGCAGGCATGGGAGGAGAGGGGGGACTCCGAACTGGGGAGGGGTAGCGCAGGGAAGAGTGAAGAAGCCCTGGGAACCAGAGAGGGATGAGGGTGAGCCAGTGGCCTGGGGCTGTTTTATGAGCTTCACAGTTAGGGGTGACTTCTCAGGCAACACTGGAACCAAAAATACATTACAAATGATCCTATTTCCACATCACCTGCACAGTGTCCTCTGCTGCCCTGGCTTCTGTGCCCAGCTGAGGGAGGTGTAGGCTGACACTGGGGTTGCTGTTATTTCAGAGACCTGGAAAATGTCTTTCTCTCATGTGGAAAAGGAGATTTTGAAAAGCCACACCAGCACCCGGAAGTGTCAGACGACCACGTGCCGCAGGTACGTGCATGTGGCAAACCACTGCCACACCAAGTATGTCTGCAAGTCTGGAAAGCCAGGGCTGGGCCAGAGGTCTTTGTATCCCCCAGCCCAGGTCGAGACAGGCCAGACTAGCATCAGTGCTGTAACTTCATGTTTTGTTGGACATAGTTTACTTTCTTTGCCCTGGAAACCCTGACTTGAACCTGGACCCTCTTTTGTTAAGCACTTTGAGATCCTTGCATAGAAGGTGCTATGGAAATGTAAAGCATTGATTGCTATCAGCTGGGAGTCTGAGTGTCTAGAGCACAGAGCTGGGAATCTAGACTCCTGGATTCTATTCCTCACTCTGCCACTGGCTCACTGTGGGGCCTTGGGCAAGTCACAGCACCAGTCTGTGCCTCAGTTTCCCCCCCCCTCCCACACACACACCCATAAAATGGGGGCAATGATCCTGATTTGTGGGAAGTGCTTTGGGATCCTCAGCCGGAAGGTGCAAACAAAGTATAAAGTATTATTAATGAACGTGATGATGCATTTGAGTATATTCATTTCCCTTTAGCGCTAGCCAGGCGTGATCCATGCTCAACTTCTAGCGAAAGTAAAATAGCTGAGACTTTAATAGTGATTTAAAAACAACAACAAACAACAACTAGGGAGCTAATAAGACCTAGACTGAAATCAATACTCTGTCACTTGCTTCAGCTGCATTACCCCCCTCCCCCTTCTCCAGGCAGACCTCATTAATTAGAGCCCAATCCTCCAAACACTATTACTGAGCGTAATGCTTACTTTTCTGAGTAATCCCATTTGTCAATGAGACTGCTCACGGTATGCCTGGCAGTCAGCATTTGCAAGATTGGGCCCATTGATTGTCAGCTCTCTAGGGCAGGGACCTTGGGATAGAGTCTGCTCTCAGTTACACCTGCATAAATCCAATGTTGCTATATTTAACTTCGTTGACTTACTCTGTAGGAGCAGCATTTGTCCCCTTTTTTTACATTCTCGTAGGTCAAATGCCTACCACACTGTGGCCCCCAGGCCCTTACTTAGGCAAAATTCCCACTGAGGTCACAGCCTGAATTAAAACGGTAAGGAGCTTGGGATTTGACCCAATAGTAACAGAAATTGCTAATGCCAAGAATGTGGCTTTCCCCTCTCTAGGCCAGAATGTCTGCAGATGCTGGAAAGTCTTTTGGGAGCCCTGAAGACAGAGCACCCCTTGGAACTGGCTCCTTTGAGTTCCTACCATGCTGAGACGTCTTTCTTTCACACGCTGCTGCAATGGAAGCAGGCCCAGGATGGGAACCCCTCCAGCGTTGCTCACTGTTTCGAAAGGGTCCGGGCCAATTTCATTCAGCAGGTGGCAACCGCTCATCTGCCTCATTTTTTCATTCCCAAATGCAACCTGTTTGGCACCAAATTCTTTCCGCCCAATAACTTGACGTTTCTGCTGGAGTGCTTAAGAGAGAAGCAAAAAAAGAAGCAGTCAACCACTGTGTCCCGAAAGAAGAAGGTCGCAGCCCCGCCACTGCTGGCTGCTGCTGTGAGCTGGCCTCTAATGATCACTGTGGGTCTGATGGTTCTGGTGTCGATTGGACTCTCCCACTTTAGGTCATAAAGATTCTGAGCGTCTACCTTTCCATTTGTAAGGACTGAAGGAGTCTGCTGGGACGTTAATTGTTAGTGAGGGTGGCAGGAGGGGGCCTAGGAGCTGCACAATCGACCACATTGCAGGACCCAGTTATAACACCGCTGTTCCTCAGACATGATAAAAACACACTCTGTAACGTAGCTAGGATCAAAGCGTGTTTACACTGTGCGCCTGAATCACGCACCTGAACTTTGCAGGGATCTAGCCGGGTTCAGGAGTATGGTAATAACACAATTCCATCCTGTCTATGCTACAAGACTAAACCAGGTTTTAACTGTGCTGTAACGCAGTCCTGCAATGTGGGCGCTTTGGATAGCTTAGCTACGCTCTAAATAAATCTGCTTGCCAATGAATCCAATACAGTATATTATTTTAAAACACAACAAGCAGATGTTGCTTTGTGTGTTTTGTCCTCCCCGAGGTAGGTCTTGTCTACACTTACAGTGCTGCAGCACCGGTGCAGCTGCACTGCTGGGTGAAGACACTACTTACGCCAACGGGAAAGCTTCTCCCATCAACATAGGTACTCCCCCTCCCCAAGAGGCGGTAGCTATGTCCATGGGAGAAGCTCTCCCTTAGCACTGTCTACATCTGGATTCCAGTTGGAATAACTGCGTCGCTCAGGGGTGTGGCTTTGTAGTGTAGAGCAGGGCTTACTAGTCTACACGCAAAATTCACCAGCAGCATTTCTCCAAGTCTCTGCCACTCCCTGTCCAGCTGCCGGTACTGTGGAATCACCAAATCTCATAACCCAACCTCGACAGGATTTGAAACACGAAGCTGGCATTTTATGCACTAGCCGACACTCTCTTTAGTCACAAAAGCTGAAAAGTAATTTAGCCACCCTATTTTTTCCACTTCAGTAACAGAAATACTGAGAATGACTCCAGAACGGGTGTGTGATGTAATGTAAAGGGCTCGTTGTCAGGCTGATGTTTGGCCTCTGACCCTTTCTTGGCCGGGCTGTGCTGTCATGCTCCCAGCCCAGCACCTGTGTCACTTCTCTCGATCTGTCCTGAAGGTTTTCCTTGTAATTTCCTGAAAATGAAAAATAAAAATGGAAACAAATGTTTGACATGTTCCACCCTGAGTTGCCTGGATGATGTCAAGTCAACAATGATACTGTTCTCTCCAGTAATCTACCTGTGCTTAAAGAACAGGGGTACTTGTGGCACCTTAGAGACTAACAAATTTATTAGAGCATAAGCTTCCGTGGGCTACAGCTACACACTACCTGTGCTTGTATCACGCCAATTGCCACCCACCACCTGTCAAGGATTTAAAAGTAACAACAACATTCTCTCTCTTCCTGCCCCGGCTGTAGGGGGAACGGCCTATGAGTTTGGAGAGTGTGTTGTGTTTAAGTTAGTGCCCATCACAGAAGGGCCTGGGATCAACCAGATCTGGGCTTAGGGGCGGAGAGGGGAGCTGCTTAGAGCCGGGTGCAGGGCCGCCCTCCGGCCGCAGGGGGCAGCAGCTGCCCCTCGGCCTGGGCGTCTCTCTCGCCTGCCGCCTCTATGGGGCAGCCGGCCGGGGCTGCCGAATAAGATCCCGTTCCGGAGCTCTCGCGATCTCTTCCACGCCTCCATCATGGCGGTGAGTAGTTGCGGTCCGCAGGAACGGGCCGGGGGAGGCTTGTCAATCCGCCGCCATCCTCCGCCGGCCGGGGCTGGCCGGGCCGGGCGCCTGCCCAGGCGGGTGGGAGAAGGTCTGTGGGTTCCCGCGGGGCCAGCGTGGGGCGGTTCCGGAGTCTCCCCCGCTCGGGAGGCCGCTGGGTTCCCTGGTCGGATCTGGTCCCCCCTCCCCTGGCAGGCAGGAGGCTCGTGGAGCTGCGCGGGCCCCTTCCCCCGGGGGCTGAGGGGGTCTCTTCCCCGGTGCCTCGCCCCGTCGGGGTGAAGCCCCTTCTACTCTTCCGCCGGGCCAGGTGCCCCGAAACCTGTCCCCCTCCTTCGGAGTCCCGGACCCTCCTTGCTAGGGAGCCCGGGACTGACAGCCCCCTGCCATGCAGTGGGGACCCCAATGGTGGGGCGCCCTGCCTCAGCGCTTGGGCCTGAACCCCCTCCGCCCCCCATCTTCCCTCCTTGCTGGGCTTGGTGCCCTTACCTGCTCTGGTTAAACCCTCACGTTCCCCTTCCCATGGGCTGTGATCTGCTCCCCAACCACGGCGCTATGGTCTGAATCCCTGCCCTCCCCTTTGCAGCCCTGGGGGGGGGGCTCAAGGCTGCCCCATACCCCCCTTCTTGCCCTGCAGCTCTCATGCCTGCTTTGAACACTGGCCCTGCAGTTCCAATGCCAGCACCAAGCTCTGTGGGGTGGTTGCATATGCACAAATGAATAGGAAGTAATGGGCACTGCCTAGTACAGAATACTGGGTACGCGTCCCTTGCCCCTGGGATCAGAATGTGGGGGAGCACATATAGGATGGAAGGGTGTCAGGAAAGTGACAGCTCCCCTTGCATAGGACTTGCAGCTGTGCTCTGTGGTATGTTGCCTTTCTAAATGTCTAGACCACTTTATTAAAAACGACTAGTCCTATCCCCCTCCCAGGGTGCTATAGCAATGCCCGCTGACTGGCACCTTGTGTATGCTGGGTTAGGGGGAGGCGTGTCTCTATCAGCTGTATATATTTTCTCTCGACAGCAAGATCAGGGTGAGAAGGAGAACCCCATGCGTGAACTGCGCATCCGCAAACTCTGTCTCAATATTTGTGTTGGGGAAAGTGGTGACAGACTCACCCGGGCAGCCAAAGTGCTGGAGCAGCTCACAGGCCAGACTCCTGTCTTCTCAAAGGGTAAGTCGTTGTTTCAGTGGGGGAAACAGAATCATTCAGTGCAAAGTGCAGCAAGCGAGATCCCATCTTGTAACAGTTAGTGACACTTTATTAGAGGTTGGGGAAACCATTTTTGGTGCCACCGAATGGAAAAAAGCAGTTTCATCTTCTGGTTTCTGAAGGCAATGCCTTCAGACATAATTACTGCTTCACCTTCTTAAAGCTTGAGTAGTACCACTGGCTGAAGTGTGCCATCCCTAGGGTTTATCCCTCCAGGTCAGGGGAGAGGTATGTGGGGAGGATGGGATAGAGAAGCCTGCGTTATCAGTGCCTGTTATGTAAATAAAGGCCTAAAATCTCCAAAACTGGCAATCTTCCCCCTTCTACCACTGCATGCAATTCTCTATTAAATTGTAACTTTTAGTATTGCCCTTTCCTCTCCCTAAATGTGGTGTCAAAAACCAAGTTGGAGCTTTTTTGCTTCAGCCTTACTAAAGCAAGAAACATGTTCCAGTCTGACTGAAAGCCATTGGAATAGCCCCGTGAGAGCAACTGATTGTGTGGGTTTGTCTCCCGCAGCTCGATACACTGTCAGATCCTTTGGAATCAGGAGAAATGAAAAGATTGCTGTTCACTGCACGGTTCGTGGGGCCAAAGCAGAGGAGATTCTGGAGAAAGGGTTGAAGGTGAGAATTTTGACTGCTCTAGCTGTTCACATGTGGCTTGTTAAAAACTTGCATGAACTTGAAGTTAGTGTAAACAAAATAATCTGCATTTAACAGCACTTTAAAGTTGTTGATTTACACTGTTCCCATGTATGGTCATTAGTTTCTCCCTTGTCAAAAAACCCTTAAACGCACATGGGAGCAGAAAGTCACTTATCGATTTGCAGAAGTAATTTTTTTTTTTAAACTTCAGGACGTACTGTTTAAGTGATGCTGTATCAAACTGGAATTTGAAAAACTAGCCTTAAAAGAATAATTTAGTTGTGTGTTCCTCTAAGGGTATGTCTGCATTGCAGTCAGAGGTGTGACTGCAGTATCTATAGACATAGCTAGAACAAAGCTAGCTCTGGTATCTCAAACAGCAGTGAACATGCAGTAGCGTGGGCTGTACAAACGCACCTGCTAGAGTACGTACTAGTGCTCAGGGTTCCAAGTGGGCTTGTCACCTGGACTACTATTGTTGTTCAAGCTAGCTAGCTCAAAGCTAGCTTGGGTATATCTACGAGTGCTGCAGTCGCATCTCTGATTGCAGTGTAGACATACCCTGAATTTGTTAGGACAGAGTTGGTGCAGGTACCTCTTCATCCTTGGAGAGCTCAGACTGTGCTCAAGGTGCAAGGTCTCAGATGGGTTTGTGAATTCTTTGTAGACAATGTCGTTCGTATCTGTCCATATCACCTCCACTATTAGATGTTAAAAGATCTAAACTGTGCATATACAGAGTAACAATACAGACATAGACGTTTAGTAGTTTCTTATGATGTAGGATTTCTGCTGTTTTCTGTAAGTTTTTGTAATTAATCATTGCAGTTTGCATGAAGTGTCCTGGCTTTAAAAGTGATCAGGGCGCTTACTAGGACTCTAGACTTCGTTAGGCACTTGCTGGCAGCTAAGATTCTTAGCTCTGTGTGTGCAATCTGGGCAGCCCTCTGTGACGCCACCTTTGTTGCTATGACTGCCAGATGGGTCAAGATGCCCGAATCTTCTGTATAAGCACCCATCACTAGGAGCTGTTTGGTTCCCAAGTGGATCCTGTTGCAACTCAGTGGAAAAAGCAGGACTTTGTTTGGAAAGACATAGAATGTAACTTGCTTTAAATGGGTTTCAGGTGCGAGAATATGAGTTGAGGAAAAACAACTTTTCAGACACTGGGAACTTTGGCTTTGGAATCCAGGAGCACATTGATCTGGGAATTAAATACGATCCCAGCATTGGCATCTATGGCCTGGACTTCTATGTGGTATGTATGCTCTACTTCCTTATCTCTGCCAGCTTTGTCCCAATGCTAGAGAGGTGCCCCAGAAGAGCAGAAAGGTGTGGGCCACTGGGAGAGTCAGAACTGTCTTAAATGTCCGTATGCTGGGGAGGGAGGTGGATAAGGGAGGTTTTTAACTAGGTCCAGCTCTCGGCTTACAAAAAGGACACTACACTCTTCGGGCTCAGACAAATCAGCCAGGACATAACTTAGTGGCCAATAGCAGAGAATGTTTTACTCTGGGTTCCATTGAGACTAGGTGCTCTGCTTAGGTGGGTGTAGAGTAGGAAGAGCCACTGGCATTTAACATGAAACATGTTTGCCTAATGCTGTCTGAAGATGAGTAAAACTCACAAAGTTGCTGGTGTGCTAGAGATGGTGACGTTGGAGAGGAACAGCTGAGCTGAATTTTGCTTGATCTTCATGGCCACTTTGCTCTTCAAACAATGTAATA